ATTAGCATGAAATAATAACACTGGACTGTATTTATCATAATATCAATTACAGGCATTGAAATGTATCACTGTTTCTACCTTCTGTATTTCTCTTGGATGAATACTTTATTGAAAGATAACTAATTAAGAAAGACACTCTACTTCTTTTGAATGACTTTCCTGGTTCCTTAGTACCTACAGGTTATGCTGTAAGCATCAGTCAAGGCTTAAGGAATGTGTTGCCTGGATGCACTGGCTGATCTCTTCTTTTTCTTTTCTAATAACTAACATCATTTTTTGTTTACTTTCTATAGGTAAATGTGAATGTAAGGAACAGATATTAAGAAATGCCAAGGCATTCTGTGGAATGAAATATTCATATGGTGAGTCTGAAATCCTTGAATGCTTCTGAGAACCTATTCACAATAAGTTCAGAGAATTTTTAAGAAAATGGGAGGCCTGAATGATGACATTGTGTAGAAATCAGAGCACAAAGCATTAGTCTTACATAATAACACTAAACAGTGTTCTGAATTTGAGCTAGATTTTCCTGATGTAGATGATGGTGGATGTCCCAGGGAGGACAGGATGCTTGTAGAGCAAATGTAGAGTTACGATAGGCAGAGAGCAGAAGGAAGAAGTCATGTTATGAAATCCTTTCTTGTGGATACTTCCTGCCTTATTCATCTAAAAGGGACATCTCTAGCCACTTAGATGACTCATGTGTTGGTTTGTCATGCGGTAATACTGAGCGGAAATCAGTTTAAGGCAGCATTTCACTATAGTTGAGAGCATAGGCTTTGGACTCAGACCTATGTGAGTTTGATTTCTAGCTTATTGGGTAAGAGACTTCACCTCTCCAAACTTGTTTCCTCATCTGTAAAGTAGGATATGCCATCTTCTTCGTGAACTAAGATGTTTGAAAAGCATGCAGCACATTAGCACATATTCAATGCTTAGTAAATTGTAGTGGGGAGAGAGAGGATGTCTATTTGTGAGGCACTAAGACTAGCTGTCTGCCTGGGGCTCTTCCCCACCCTCTCTGTATACTCTAGATACCCATATCTTTCAAATACCAGGAAAATACATCCTGTAGAAAAAGGGAAATTGCACTGCCTAAGTAAAGACTCTCCCTATCTTCAAATGGCTTTATATTTACTATTAAATATATTAAGATGGCCAGGTGTGGTGGCTCATGCCTGTAATCCTAGCACATGGGGAGGCCGAGGCAGGTAGATTACCTGAGGTCAGAAGTTTGAGACCAGCCTGGCTAACATGGTGAAACCCCATTTTCACTAAAAATACAAAAAGTTAGCCGGGTGTGGTGGTGCACACCTGTAATCCCAGCTGTTTGGGAGGCTGAGGCAGGAGAGTTACTTGAAACTGGGAGGCAAAGGTTGCAGTGAGCCAAGATTGCGCCATTGCACTCCAGCTTGGGTAACAAGATTGAAACTTCATCTAAAATAAAAGGTACATGTGTATAGATAGATAGATGATAGATAGATAGATAGATAGATAGATAGATAGATATCATATCTTGCCAACACACTCCTGACCTCAAATGATCTGCCTGCATTGACCTCCCAAAGCGCTGGGATGACAGACGTGAGTCACCACACCCAGCCTGAGACTTTTTATTGGTCCATAATATATATGGCCTGAAATATACACTACAATGAGGAGAAAATTTTAAGTCATGATTTATGAAACCAAGTATTTAGGTTCTTGATACTATTATCTTTAATCTCATAAAAGATTTTTCAAAGTAAAGTGGTAAAAGCCTCACAAATCTTATCTAAAATTACATGCAGACTTTCCTCTCTTTACCTTCCAACTTGACTAAATAATAGAAGAAAACATTTGAAATGTATAGCACTCTATAAAGGAAAGGCAGTTTAGAGAAAATGGCATTGACTCTCAAGAGCAAAGAATGTGATAATTTAGTTCAGTCAGTTTGTTCAGTGAAAATATCAACTAGTTCTCCTTATCACATCAACTTGGAGGCTCTCTGAATTTACACATAACCAATCTTTTAATACAACTGCATTAATTTTTTATTTAAGAAGAATTTGAACGTTCTTAATAATGTAATGAGGCCAGGCGCAGTGACTCACACCTGTAATCTTAGCACTTTGGGAGGCCAAGGCAGGTGGGTCACGAGGTCAGGAGTTCAAGACCAGCCTGGACAGGATGGTGAAACTTCATCTCTACTATAAATACAAAAATTGGTCGGGCACAGTGGCGGGTGCCTGTAATCCCAGCTACTCAGGAGGCTGAGGTAGGAGAATCGCTTGAACCCAAGAAGCAGAGGTTGAAGTGAGCCAAGATCATGCCTCTGCACTGTAGCCTGTGTGACAAAGCAAGACTTAAAACAAGTCAAAATAATAATAATGTAATGAAACATTGTGGCCTTCTTAAATGCAATACTGTTACAGACTTGGAAAAAATTGATTTCCTCCTCCCATTCCCTGGATTAATAAGGAAAAAAACACTTATTTGCTTACTTTTTTAGCAAATTCCTGTTGAGCAATAGAAGTGACAGACAGGGTCCCTGCTCTCTTTGAGTTTACAAGTCTAGTGGAATAATAATAGCAAACATTTACTGAGCATTAGCACATGCCAGGCGCTATGCTACCTGTCCTTCATGCATTTATCTCATCAGGGTTCTAGTTCAAACCTCTATCTCTGCCCAACCAGTTATGCGAACTTGAAAGTTCACTTAATTTCTTTTTTTTTAAATTGCATTTTAGGTTTTGGGTACATGTGCAGAACATGCAAGATAGTTGCATAGGTACACACGTGGCAGTGTGTTTTGCTGCCTTCCTCCCCTTCACCCACATTTGGCATTTCTCCCCATGCTATCCCTCCCCAGCTCCCCCCGGCATTTCTCCCCATGCTATCCCTCCCCAGCTCCCCCCGCCACTGCTGTCCCTCCCCTATTCCCAATAGATCCCAGTGTGTAGCTTTTTTTTTTTTTTTTTTGAGAGATAGTGTTTTGCTCTGTTGTCCAGGCTGGAGTGCAGTGGTACGATCTCGACTCACTTAATATCTGCCTGTCAGTTTCAAGCAATTCTCCTGCCTCAGCTTCCCAAGTAGCTGGGACTACAGGCATCTACCATCATGCCCAGATAATTTGCGTGTGTGTATTTTTTAGGAGAGATGGATTTCACTATATGTTGGCCAGGCTGATCTCAAACTCCTGACCTCAGGTGATCCACCCACCTCAGCCTCCCAAAGTCCTAGGATTAAAGGCGTCAGCCACGGCCCCTGGCCTTAATTTCTTAAAACTTGCTTTCTCGTGTATAAAAAAAGACAGGATGAGCTTTTAAAGACCCCTTAGAAATCTAAAATGTGATGACTCCATAAAGATAGCTGTCTGACAGCTATAGTCTTAGAGCATGAGACCAGCCGAGATTGGGTGCTCTCACACACTCGTCCATGGAGATGTGGATAAGCCAATAAGAACTTCCCTATGAAAAAAAAAGAAAATTAGCTGGGTGTGGTGGCGGGCGCCTGGATTCCCAGACACTCAGGAGGCTGAGGCAGGAGAATCGCCTGAACCTAGGAGGCGGGAGGTTGCAGTGAGCCGAGATCGTGCCATTGCACTCCAGCTTGGGCAACAGAACGAAACTCAGTCTCAAAAAAAAAAAAAAAAAAAAAAAAAAAAAAAGAGTTGCCTAGTGTTCCTGAGCAGCCCAGTGTTCCTTAGCTTCACTTTCTTCCCAACCCCAATTTATTCCATTACTTAATCCCCAGCCACATCAATTTCATCAATGGGAAGGCATCATAGAATCATGTCATAAGTCACACAGAATACCAGAGATCAATCACCATGCATGGGTGTCCAGCTCTCTGGATGCCAGAGCTTTTTGGTTTCTCCGTGGTGAAGGATATCACAAAAATTATCAGCTATCATTAGTGTTAGTGTATTTTGTGTGTGGTCAAATGTGGCCCAGGGAAGTCAAGAGTTTGGACACCTGTGAAGGGACAGCTTCCCTAACTCCAGTCAGCTTGCATTTTCTGCCAGGAGAAGAATATTAAGTAGTAAATCATATTATTTAACCTGTTTAGAATATGCAAAATATATTCTGGCAGTGGCATTTTGCTCTCTATCATAACATTATACACAGCCACAAAAGAATCATAGAGTCAGAACCTAAATAAAAGCCATGATAATTCCACTTCCCATGTTTCTTCTATTTAGATGTGGTAGCTGAATGTATTTAAGATTATAATTGCAATACGCAGATGGCTGTTAGTCTCTTAGCATAATGATATTGGAGGGAGTCACATTTGAAATTGTCTAACAAGACTATAGTTAATGTAGGTAAATGAGATGATGCCAGTGCAAAAATGAGCCTATATTTTTTTTACTATTTTAATTTTATTTCAATAGTTTTGGGGGAACAGGTGGTTTTTGTTTACATGAGTAAGTTCTCAGAGGTGATTTCTGAGATTCTGATGCACCTACCACCCGAACAGTGTACACCGTATCCAGTATGTAGTTTTTATCCCTCACCCCCCTCACCCTTCCCTCTGAGTCCCCAGAGTCCATTATATCATTCTTAGGTCTTTGCATCTTCATGTCTTAGCTCCCACTTATAAGTGAGAACATGATGAGGTTTGGTTTTCCATCCCTGAGTTACTCTGCTTAGAATAATGGCCTCCAACTCCATCCAAGTTAATGCCTAATGATTTTTAAAGCAAATTTTCACATTCTCCTTTCCGTTATATTCTGAAATGCACACTTAAGTGTCGTTTACATTTCAAACAATAATATAAAATTCGATACATTTTGACTTCTGTGTTGTTAACAGTGCTAAAAATAAAGATTTTATCAGCTCATGATAAAGGCACTCATGTTGAGGTCAATGTGAAGATTAAAAAGGTCTTAAAATCTACCAAATTGAAGATTTTCCGAGGAAAGCGAACGTTATATCCAGAATCGTGGACGGACAGAGGATGCACTTGTCCAATCCTCAATCCTGGTGAGTATCAGACTTTCCTATCTTAGTACCTACCTTGTCTCTGCTGATTTGCTGCTTGTCTTACATCCTCTGAAACACAACATAAACTCAGCAAGAATGTCTCTCCTTTTCACCACCCGACTCCTACGGGAAATCCCAATGAAATACTTTGAACTAACATCGAAAGTGTTTCTCTTCCATGTGCTCTATCAAAGTATAATATTTTAAAATCCCGCAATATAATTCTCTCTATCCTAAAAGATTGGTTCCAGGTGCCAGTTGCATAGAAAGCACTTTCATGAATTTATCTGCCACTCGCTCTTTATCTGAAAGCGAGGTCCTATTGCAGTAGAACCTGTTCCCGAAGGGAGTTCAAATGCACAGTTCCATCTGTGGAAATAATATTGAGTCATTCCGACTATTGCATGAGAAGCATCTGTTTCTCCTGGAGAGAAAACCGCTCTCAAGTTCTCATCATCTTGTTTTTCATGAAATGATTGTTCTGGTGTCCAGTTAGAAACAGCAGATATAAACAAAACAAAAACTGTAAGATGAAAGAGCAACTTGAAATGGAGACAGATTTGATTTGCACCTTTAAATGTGATAGCAGAAGCGAAGACAAACAAGTAAGCACAGGGATTCTTGCCCCAAGCCCACATTTCATCCTGGGTCATAAGCTGCTTATTTCTTTGTCTCCCTCATCAAATTTGAGGATGGGATTTGGGCTTCTGATCACAGTATCTTCAATGCCTACCATTAGTACTCAGATAATGGTAACATAATACTTAGATAGTAGGCTCTAATGAATCATAATTCAAACAATCCTCTGCATCTCCACACTTGTCTGGCTGTCATCTGTGTCTGGTGGACTGACGAAACAGGTGCATTATTTATGTTCTTGATCTAATTTCTTCCCCATATAAACTCACAGTTACATGGATTTTGTACCCAGTCTGGCCAACATAGTGAAACCCCATCTCTACTAAAAATACAAAAATTAACTGAGTGTGGTGGTGGCCACCTGTAGTCCCAGCTACTTGAGAGGCTGAGGCAGGAGAATCATTTGAACCTGGGAGGTAGAGTTTGTAGTGAGCTGAGATCACACCACTGCACTCCAGCCTGGGCGACAGAGCAAGACTCCATCTCAAAAAAAAAAAAGAAAAAAAAGTCTTTTGCAGTCTTTGATCAATAAATTTGAGAGAAACAGATAACTGAGAGAGAAAGACGGAGCATAAACTAGCAATAAAAAATCCCCTCAGTCTAAACAAAGTCAACACTGATACATTATTTTGATTTTGGCCAAGTGTTGACCAATCTCTCACATCCTTTTCTACCCTTTTAATAATGTATTTAAATTAATTCAGATTTTAATAAGGAAAAGGTAAAAAAGAGCATTTTAAATTATAAAAATAAATAAATAGATAGACTGAGCATGGTGGCTCATACCTGCAATCTCGGCACTTCAGCAGGCCAAGGTGGGAGGATAGCTTGAGCCCAGGAGTTCTAGACCAGTCTGGGCAACACAGTGAGACCCAGTATCTACCAAACATTTTTTTAAAAGTTAACTGGGTGTGGTGGCGCATGCCTGTAGTCCCAACTACTTGGGAGGCTGAGGTAGGAGAATCGCTTCAGCCCAGCAGGTCAAGGCTGCAGTGAACCATAACTAAGTCACTGCCCTCCAACCCCAGGCAAACAGAGCAAGACCCTATCTCAAAAGAAATAAAAAATACATAAATAAATAAAATTTCAAAGAACAAATTGAAATCATAAGAATCTTGGGCTTTGAATACAGGAAACTAAAAATAATTCATGTAAGTTCTATTTCCCAGTGATTTGTGCTTAGGGCCTTCTCTTATAAGAGCTTTCCTACTGTCTTGGAAAAAGAAAAAAAAAATAAGTCTGTCCAGTTTAGTGACATTAAAAACAAAAGCTTTGACCTTCTGAGCCCCCTCCAGGAAGTGAACTATACTTCCTAATCAGGTTTCTGCCAAGCTGAGTCAAAGAATCAGCTGAGTTCATCACAATTGAAAACATAAGCGCAATTATTCAAAGAATTCTTGAAAACATGTTTACTTGCTTTGAAGAAAAGACTGGAACTTGCCAAAGCAAAACCAGACACTCTTTCATTTTACTTTGTTTTTCCAATTTTACGAGTTCAATAGCTAAGGCCAAAGAAAGCTGATAAGGAAACTGAAACCTTGCACACCAACCTGCTTCCTTGGCTGCTTTGGAAAAGAAACAACTCTATTGAGCATCCTGCATATTCATTCACTCTTAATTTATGCATACATGTACTCATTCATCAGTCATATTCTTTAGAATACCAAGACTAGCACTAAAGTATTATATTTTCTTTTTCTATGGATACAAAGTAAACTTTGTGTTTTCAGACATGCAGCAAAGTAGTTGCCAAAACCCTAGAGACAGGAAAATAAAATATAATGCCAATAAAAGATGTAAAAAAAACCATTGTTTTGCATGTTTATTTTTGGTGTAATTTAACTTGTATTTACACTTTAAATTAATGGTAAATTCCTATTTGTCCTATTTGTAGTTTCAAAGTAAATTCATTAAAAAATACTAGACTTAATCCTAGGATTTCTTTCTATTTTTCTTTGTTTAAAAACAGGATTATTTGCTCCATTGCCCAGGCTAGAGTGGTGATAGACTGGGCATGGTGGCTCACTGCTCACTGCAGCCTTAGCCTCCCAAGCTCAAGCAATCCTCCTGCCTCAGCCTCCCAAGTAGCTAGTAGGACTACAGACATGCCACTACACCCAGCTAATTTTTGTTTGTTTTTTGTAAACAGGGTCTCACTATGTTGCCCAGGCTGGTCCTAAACTCCTGGCCTCAAGCAGTCCTCCCACCTCAGCCTCCCAAAGCACTGGGATTACAGGCAAGAGCCACTGTATCCAACTCTAACCCTGAAGTTTCTTAAAAATTGTTTATTGTATTTTTTAATGAGGACTTTATTATTTTAGACATTATACAGTTTTAAGGCTACCAAATATTGAGATTCTTTTTCATGCAGAAGCTAAGGTTACCTTTTAAATAATTTAAATGCCTTTTCATTCATTTTATATTGTACTCTCCAGTGTTAGAAACCTCTCTGTGTCATTATTTTCCTTTTTCTGAAAACACCGTAATAGCTTTTTTTTTAAGTTTAGGATTAGTTTCATTTAATAATCTTTTAGCAGGGTGCAGTGGCTTACACATGTGATCCTGGCACTTTTGGAGGCTGAGGTGGGTGGGTTGCTTGAGCCTAGGAGTTCGAGGCCAGCCTGGGCAACATGGCGAAACTCCATCTCTACAAAAAATACAAAAAATTAGCCAGGTGTGGTGGCATAAGCCTATAGTTCCAGCTACTCAGAAGGCTGAGGGGAAGGATTACCTTAGCCTAGGGAGGTCAAGGCTACAGAGCTGAGATGGTGCCACTGCACATCAGCCTGGGTGACAAAGACCCTGTCAAAAAAAAAAGGGGGGGGGGAAAAAAAAGAAAAAGAAGGGAGGGGAGGGAAGGAGGGATAAAGGGAGGGAAGGAAAGTGTTTGGGGGAAATTTTTAAATTTCATATTTCTATCCCCCAGAGATCATCTCTGTTAATAGCTTAATACAAATCCTTTCCAATCTTCCTCTGTGTGTATATTTTTAACCAAAATGATATCATAGTATATGCTCCATTCTGTAACCTGCATTATTCTGTTAATAAGCTTTACCTTCAATTTCAGTTTATTTTTGTATTATCTAATACTCATGTTATATTTCTGTTTCCCAAATGATCCCAAAATGTCCTCAAGAGCTGATTTGTTCTTGCCAGTATTCAATCCAGGATCACACATTACATCTAGTTCTTCAGTCCCTCAAGTCTCTTTTATTCTAGCACTGTTCCTTTTTTATGACTTGTTGAGGAAACCAGGACAGATGCCCTATCCATTATCTGACCATCAACATTTGTGTGGTTGATTTGTTAATGGTGGTGTTCAGCTTGTTCCTCTACCTCTTCTATCTCCTGTAATCTCTAAAGAAAGGCTTGATTGATTCAAGACAAACATTTTAGATAGAATCCATTTTAGAGATCACTGTGTGCTTCATGTTGACTCATGTAGAATGCACATGGTACCTGGATAACCTCCCGTCACTGTCTCTAAGGTTGACCTTTGGATTACATTGAAGGCAGTCTGATCTCTCCATTGCCAAAATTTTGTTTTACCTTTAGAGATAGAAAAGAATGAGTGTGGCGTTACGTAGCACTATATATACAAGTATCCAGTTTTCCATTAACCGTTCATATTATGACTTTATTGCCAATTGGTAATCCTTTCCAGAATCAATAATTTCATTAGAGTCCAAGGAATGATGTTTTTCTAATTCTCTCTAATTCTCTTCTTTTATTCGCTGGCACTTTTCTGTAAGAGGGCTTTCTCTCCCAAGCTGGGCGATTAAGTTACTATGAAATACAGTTCTTATTGTAAAGACAGGATAAATGCTACATTTTTTCCCCTTTAATTTCCAATTTTCAACATAAGAAGTGGTTGGTTTTAACAGCTACTTCTAAAGATGACAAATTAATTTTTTGCTGGCTTTCTCATTATTTAGTGTCATGTTGGAATTAGCGATTTCTATGGATTTTCTGTGTTTCCATACACACAATTGTTAGTTTCTTGGTGCTCAACTTATCACAACTTTGACAAGTTATAACCCCTTCCTGTGTCCTTTTAAAAACACCCACATTTATCTTTGAAGCTTTCTTGTTGTTGTTTTTTTTTTTTTTTAATTTTGTTTGTTTGTTTTGTTAATCAATGAGAGCTTGTAACGTTGCTCAGGTTGGCCTTGAACTCATGGCCTTGCCTCCTCAAGCACCAGGACAACTGGCCGGAGCCACCGTGGCCCCAGCTTTCTTGTTTTTTAACACAAAATGATGTGCCATGCTCACCTTCCTGCCCTGAACCTGGAATAAGCCATTTTCCAAGAAGCCTTCTTTTGTCTTGCATTAGTGAAACATGTTAAAGACCACAGTATGTTTGTGACGGGTGTTCTTTACTACGGGGATGACATTTTTTTCTGTCACTTCAGCAAAAAACAAGCAATGAATCAATTTAAATTGTAAGTTTAAGTTGATATTTTCAGTTGAATTTTAGCCTCTAGCATTCGCTTAATTTTTAAAAGTACGTCTCTTTTACATTGGAAAGTTTTTATTTTATAAACATAATTGTTTTATCATATAATTTTTAAAAATTTTTTCTAAATACCAAAATCTACATTACTACAAACATTAACTGAGGGCAATTATATTTCTTTTTACTAATCTATAGGTAATGAGACTGTCCTTTATTTCTTGGGTGTATCAGCTAAAATTTGTTATCTAAAGAATGAAAAAACTTTTGAATTACAAAGACGACATGAGATCTAGTCAAGTTTTATCATTCATGTATTTTTTAATATATGACAAATATCCTATTCCAAAAACACATAGGCTTTATATAGGGAATATGTGTTATTTTGTATAATCCATAGCTTCCTTCCAATTTGTTTTCCCAAACGCTTGTTTTACTTTTATAAAAATCCTAGGCTGGGTGCAATGGCTCATGTCTGTAATCCCAGTACTTTGGGAGGCTGAGGCAAGCGGATCACCTGAGTTCAGGAGTTCGAGACCAGCCTGGCCAACATGGTGAAACCCTGTCTCCTAAAAATACAAAAACTAGCCAGGCTTGGTGGTGCATGCCTGCAATCCCAGCTTCTTGGGAGGCTGAGGCATGAGAATTGCTTAACCCAGGAGGCAGAGGTTGCAGTGAGCCAAGATGGCACCACTGCACTCCAGCCTGGGCGACAGAGCAAGACTCCATCAAAAAAAATTAAAAAAGGCAAAAACAAAAAACACGTCCTTAACGTACACTACCATACACGGTGAGTCTCCAAGATATACTGATCTAGAGCAGTACAGTAAGTGTCCTTAGAACCCTTGGTTCTTTGCCACAGAGTGAGGTATAGTACAAAGGAAAAGTTCTAGAATCAGCAAGACCTGAGTTTGAGTACAGGTATGCAAAAGAATACAGAACAAGTTTCTTAGCCTTGCTGAGCCTCAGTTCCTCATTTGCAAAACAAGGAGGAAAAAAATACCTACTTTACCGGGTTATTTTCAAGACTAAATGAGATCATACGTGTAAAGCATATGTGTGCTAAGCATAGTAAAGGCTTACTCAATGGCAGCTATTAATGTCTCTTACTTCTTATTCCAACCTTGAATATATAAAACTGCTAGAGCCGACCAGGCATGGTGGCTCACACCTGTAATCCCAGCACTTTGGGAGGCTGAGGTGGGCAGATGGCTTGAGTCCAGGAGTTCGAGACCAGCCTGGGCAACATGATGAAACCCCATCTTGACAAAAAATATGAAAAAATTAGCTGGGCATGCTGGCGCACACTTGTAGTCCCAACTACTTGGGAGGCTGAGACAGGAGGATTGCCTAAGCCCAGGATGTCAAACTGCAATGAGCCAGGATCATGCCACTATCCTCCAGCCTGGGTGACAGCAAGACCCTGTCTCAAAATAAATACAAAAGAAAACCTGCTGGAGTTGCATCTCTCCCTTCAATAAAGTATGATACTATATAGCCCCTAATTTTGTTCTCTTTTAGGTTTGGAATACCTTGTAGCAGGACATGAGGATGTAAGAACAGGCAAACTAATTGTGAATATGAAAAGCTTTGTTCAGCACTGGAAACCTTCTCTTGGAAGAAAAGTCATGGATATTTTAAAAAGAGAGTGCAAATAGCATTAAGATGGATAACACATAATGGCACTTCCCTTTGTACAAAACACAAACTTTAGAGCAAGAAAACCTCAAAAAGGAAACTGGAATTTTTTAAAGTGCCAAAATGTATAAAAATGTTCAATGCCTGGGTCTCATCTAACTTATCGCTTCTGGGCCCATGTTTAAATACAGTTTTATTTCATAAAGAGAAATGAAAACCCCTACACTGACATATTTTCTATGGGACTGATTCTGAAACTCTTAAGAATATTTTAATAGCAGCATGACATTTAACAGTAATCCATTAAGGGCAGTACCTCTAACAAGGAACTTCCAGCTTCAGCTACCTTATTTACATTTGATGCTACTTAAGGTAATGAATGAGGTTTTAAGGAATCCCCAACCCTGCTATCGGAAAATGTAAAAAAGAACCTTCTTTTGTGTGTTATGCATGAACTTTGGTCTGTAGGTGTTAAATGGAACCTCTCCATGTGTATATAGTGTTTCCTTGTATAAAGCACTTTACTACCTATTACTTGTGTTATGAACGTTTGGAGGCTGCTGTTGACAGAAAAGGGTGTATGAGGAAGCCTGCGGTAGCAGAAGGGCTGGCACGTGTGGACAAAAGTGACCATAGGAAGCAAGCTGAGCTATTTAACTCTGAATACTTGGAGAAACTAGGTGAAGATGTGACCAGCAGGGAGAATATGTATGCATGAAGTCTCAGCTTTGAGCTGGAGGCTAGATTCCAAGATGACAGCCATGAGGAAACTTTGTAAAAAACTAAACAAGAAAAGACTTTAAAATAAGAGAAAGAAATCATAAATGTAGACCTATCCTTGGCTAAAGGGGAAATGGACTTTAAATTTTAAAAAGCTCATTTGCAATGCACTTGAATACACTTCAAAAATTATTGTAGACACAGAATTTGTTATATTTTTGTGCTTAGTATTTAAACCTGAATATTGAAACAGTTTTCTTCCTTGTCTTTCTTAACAGTAATAGCCATTATATTTACCTGTTTTTAAACACAGTGTGATAGTCAACAAATCACAGTTTTTCATTATTACTCATGTTCTGTACCCATGCATAACCACTATACATAGTTTCTTTTGTACTTGAATATACAAAACATGAACACAGTGCCATATGAATCATTTCACATACAGATTTTTTTTCCCTGAAGTCCTGTGGACTTGCAAAAATATATATATAGTGCTTTGTTAATTTGTTTTTATATTTCATATATGGAATAAAGGAACATGATCTCCTGCTTTCTGTCTCATTTATTAACTCTGAATGATGCTAAAGATTATCGTCTCATAATGAGGGAACTTAAATCTAATTCATTAAGAAAATAAAACAAGACCCTGGTATTTTCACTCTGTTACTTCAGGATTTTGGAATGAAGTGGAAGCTAACTCAGATGAATTTATTTTCTATAGCCTTGGACACAAACTTTTTTCAGCAGATACCTTGTGATTTTTGTATTACATTAATTTTAACTAATTTAAAAAGCAATCAATGTTCATTGTTGAAAACACAGGAAAAGTATAATGGGAAAAATATTTATACTCCAGCCATCCTGGGATAAGAGCCATTGCTCTGGTGTCTATAATGTAGACTGTTTTCTGTGCATACATATATACATTTTATATAATTGGAATTATACTAAACATAACCTTATAAAATTTGCTTTTTTACCTGTAGAATGTCTCTTAGCTTCTTACCTATCCTATCTTATCCTGGTAGATGGACCAGTATCTAGTATGGTTAACATTTAGAAGCAACTTATAAAACATGTTGGTAAGTATAGCATACCAAGAAAAATATTTTACATACTTCAGATACAGGATTTTCCATTCACTTTGTTTAAAACAACAAATACCCACCTTGAGTAGAAATTTTAAAAAAAAAAAGAAGTTCATAAAACATTAGCTCCCACCCCAAAAACACATTTATAATATATATAGTGTTTTTAAAGTTCTGAAAGAGGGCCGCACAGTGGCTCACACCTGCAATTATAGCACTTTTAGAGGCTGAGATGGGAGGATTCGTAAGGCCAGGAGTTTGAGACCAGCCTGGGCAATGTAGTGAGACCCCCATCTCTTAGAAAAAAAATTAGCCAGGCGTGTGGTACACACCTGTAGTTTCAGCTACTCAGGAGGGTGAGGTAGGAGGATGTCTAGGGCATGAGATTTCAAGGTTACAGTGAATTCAAGGTTACAGTGAGCCATGATCATGTCACTATTCCAACCTGGGTAACTGAATAAGACCCTGTCTCAAATACATAAATAAAAGTTCTGAAAGAGAGACAGATTAGAATAGTATTTGACCCTGTTTGGCAAAGAAGGAGGGAGATTTTTTTTTTTCATATTTTACATACATTTGTATTGCTTGACTTTTTCACTAATCGTGTACTACTTTGTAATTTATTATTATTTTTTTGAGATGGAGTCTCACTCTGTCACCCAGGCTGGAGTGCAGTGGTAAGATCTCAGCTTATTGCAACCTCTGCCTCCTGGGTTCAAGCAATTCTCCTGCCTCAGCCACCTGAGTACTTGGGACTATAGGTGCCACCACCACATGCAGCTAATTTTTGTATTTTTAGTAGAGACAGGGTTGTGTCATGTTGGCCAGGCTGGCCTTGAACTCCTGACCTCAGATATTCCATCTGCCTCAGCCTCCCAAAGTTCTAGGATTACAGGCGTGAGCCACTGTGCCCAGCTTGTAGTTTATTTTTTAAAATAAAATTTAACCAATTGTTTTTAAAGTATGTATTTAAAGTACTAAGGCAACACAGTCAAATAAGACTTCCATTTTAACCTATGTTTTAAAATGAGAACTAAAAGTTTAATTCTGTCTAGTTTACCAAATTGTTGGGTCCCAATGTCTTCCCCGTCCTCTTTGACTAGAATCTGCTTCCTTCATTGCTCTTTCAAGTACCTTTTCTGGCAACATTAAAAAACATAGGTTACTATTAGAACTATTTCTTAAGGTCTTGATTCTCAAATCACTTTCAGCCTTCCAGTGCAGTTTTAAATTTCCTATGAGCGTCATTTGGCTTCCAAGGTGGTTAAAAAAAAAAAAAAAAAAAGGAAAAGGAAAAGACACTTTGTGTTCCCCATTTTGTAAATGTAAAGAAAATAGAGCTGACCCCCTCTTGACCCCATTCCCATCATCCCATCATTCCAACATCCCAACATCCCATCATCCCATCATCCCATCATCCCAACATCCCAACATCCCAACATCCCATCATCCCAACATCCCATCATCCCAACATCCCATCATCCCAACATCCCATCATCCCATCATCCCATCATCCCAACATCCCAACATCCCAACATCCCATCATCCCAACATCCCATCATCCCAACATCCCAACATCCCAACATCCCATCATCCCATCATCCCATCATCCCATCATCCCAACATCCCAACATCCCAACATCCCATCATCCCAACATCCCATCATCCCATCATCCCATACTGCCTTCCTGCTACATGCACTTTCTCCTCCTTAACGTCTTTCAAAATAACCACCTCGGTACTAAGGCAACACAGTCAAATAAGACTTCCATCTATGGCTTCATAGGAACCTGAACACTTCCTTTGAGAGCCGCTGGGAAAGTCTCTGCCCCTGGACCTTTACTCTGTGTGCCCTGGGCTTTATTAGTCAGCACTGAGTTTCGTAACTGCCACATACCTATCCGTGCGATTTGCCCGAGGTCAACACAGTCCTGCCCTCTTCTTACATCATTTTCCCTGTAGAGGAATGTTGCTAATATTTAGTATTTGATGCAATGGAAATTCTCAATAATAGGATAATCTTTTAATAGTGTCTTCTAAATGAGGTCAAATCTGTGGGGATGTGACCATGAGCCAAACAGCAGTGTCCATCTGGCTATGTTAAACAGAGAGCAAGGACTATTATGGGTAAACATAGTTCTTGGGGACATGTCGGGTTCTTGCAAAACAAATCCTTTTCTAAATGATCTGAGACTTACCAATTCTGAAGGGTGGGGAAAAGAACCTTGAAAATGTCTCGTGCTGGCTGTCCCTCTGCCGCTCCCCTGGAATGCCTGAGAACAAGAATGAGCACCGCCTGGCCTGCTGAGTTTTGTGAGGGGTCCCAGGACTGAATCGCTTTTGTGCTCATTGTTCCAATGATAAGCAGTCCCTGAACCTAACTTTATCAAAGGGCCAACTTCACATCTTATTTCCCACAGTTTGGAAGGAAAATATGAATAACCTCAATTTTGCAAGAGAGATTGGTATGATAAAAATGGAATAGAAGCAAAAGGGTGCACCTCAAACGACTGACACTTTCTTTTTTTAAGTCTCTCAGAGAATGATTTTTCTGAAAATACTTTTTAAAAAATGATGCCCTAGTCCCTGCGTTCCAACACTTTCACCAAAGAAATGTAAACTTGTCTCTACTTTTTGAGGACTGCTGATTGTGTTGGAAACATGCAATTTTTTAGATGACAGATTCCTAAATTTATTATTAGTCAGTTTGTATGTGTGAATAACTAAAAAAGCAGAATGTTAGTCACAAGAAAGAAAGAAATATGCACTGGGCCAAACAGAGATTTCCAGAAGGTGAGATGTGTGTTCCACTAAGAGAGGGTTTTGCCTGGGTGTGGTGGCTCACTCCAGTAATGCCAATACTTGGTGAGGCCAAGGTGGGCAGATAACTTGAGCCCAAGAGTTTGAGACCAGCCTCTGCAAGATAGGAGGACCTCATCTCCACAAAAACTACAAACAATTAGCTGGACGTGGTGGCACACACCTGTAATTCCAGCTACCCAGGAAGCTGAGGAGGGAGGACCACTTGAGCCTGGGAGATCAAGGCTGTGATTGCACCACTGCACTCCAGCCTGGGCTACAGAGTGAGACCCTGTCTCAAAAAAAAAAAAAAAAGAAGAAGAAGAGAGTTTTGGTAGATGCTGAATACATTTCTAGTTTCTTAGCATGTCACAGGTAGAGGAACCATGTTCCAAAGTGTGATCATTAGTAATGAATTTATTATTAAATCCAAGAATATCCAAGATTTACTAGAAATGATTAAATCATAGTGTGCCTATGTGACCAGGAGAGAACAGCAGCCAGACAAGGAACCTGTTTCCCAGAAAGAAAAACAACCACTGTTAGCAGATTTTCACAGTATCAGTTAAATAGTCTGCCCAGAAACTCCCTGGATGCCTCCTCAGCTAGGACACTGCCAAAGATTTCAAACTTGGTGAATAAAAATAATCCCAGCACTTTGGGAGGCCAAGGTGGAAGGGTTGCTTGAGCTCAGGAGTTTGAGACCAGCCTGGGCAATACAGTGAGACCATGTCTCTCCAAAAAATAAAAGAATTTAGAACAAAAAAAAAGAATTTGCAGGGCATGGTGGTGTGTGCCTATAGTCCCAGGTACTCAGGAAGCTGAGGCAAAGGATCACTTGAGGTCAGGAGGTCAAGGCTGCAGTGAGCCATGATCTTGCCACCATACTCCAGCCTGGGCAACAGAGCAAGACATTGTCTCAAAAAGAAAAAGATAATATCGATGTATAAATGAGAGCCAGCAGTAATGAAGAGTTTACTACATGTGAGGCACTTTTCTTCGTGCTTTATAGGTGTTATCCCCATTTTATGCTCCTAAGCACCTCTGAGGTGCAGGCTATTATTATTCCCATTTCTCAGATGAAGAAACAGAGGCACAGAGAGTCCAACTAAATTGTTCAAGGACAGTCAGATAATAATTGTGAAGCCTGAATTTGAACCCATGCATTCTAACTCACAGTGTCCATATTTCAGTCCCTAAAAGGTGATGCCAGCTGCGCCATTTGCAATCATGGCTGTTTCTTTGGTTGAGGGAGGAGAACTGAAGTCAGAATTTCTTCTGGGTTTTTCGTCACACTCCAAATTGTAATGTGTTCCGTCATCGCACTCTGCAGCTGCATCTTCTACTCTTTCCTCTGGTTACAGCACCACTAGAGTAATGCTGCCTAATATCATTTATATTAAGAGGAAATGGAAATGGTAAGAGTCCTTTTTTTAAAAAAAAAAATTGTTTTTGAGACAAGGTCTCACTCTGTCACACAGGCTGGAGTGTGGTGGCATGATAACAGCTCACCGCAGCCTCAACCTCCTGGGCTCGAGCAATCCCCTTGCCTCAGCCTCCTGAGTAGCTTGTGGTCCCAGCTGGAGTGCGCCACCACCCCCAGCTGATTTTCTATTAATTATTTGTAGAGATTGGGTTCTGGCCATGTTGCCCAGGCTGGCCTCAAGCGATCCTCCTGCCTCAGACTCCCAAAGTGCTAGGATTACAGGCGTCAGCCACTGCCTGGCAAGTCTCTTCTTTCCCTTTGCCCTTTCCCTCTTGGTATGGTTTTCTGAGGTCCATTTTGGCAGAAGATCCACTTTTGATGTATCAGTAATGATCCTGAATGAGTAACTATGAAATTCAATAGCATTCAAATCAGTCCTGTCAGCTCTGACCTTTGCTATATGGAGAAATTCTGCTTGCAAGATGAATGAGAAGGAATTACACCAGAGAGAGACAAGGAAATAAGAAAAAATAGAGAATGTAGGCACTTTGTCAACCAAGGGGAGGGAGAAAAGAGCAGAAAACAAAAGATAATGATATAAGAGAATCAAGGCAAGCAGCAGCTACAAAAAAGTCAGTTTGCAGGAGGTAGAGGCTGCAGTGAGCTGAGATGACAGCATTGCACTCTAGCTTGGGCAACAGAGCAAAACTCCGTCTCAAATAAAAAAGGTGGGGGCAGTTTGTTCTAGTAAGAACATGCGAAATGTTTCAAGGTAGAATATATTCAGTTAATCAATTCTTCCACTGTTAGACACCACGATTTATGTAAGGTATTTCTGAATATTTATTACAAAAGTTTTTCATCTAACTCTCTTGCTGTTAGTTGTGTTTGAAGAGCCAGAAAAGCTACAGAAGATATAATACAGAAACCATATAATACAGAAAAGCTACAGAAGAAAGAATACAGAAACCATAGGCAATGGTAACTAGAAAACTAGGGAAACCCATTACTTTTATCATATACTAAAAAAAAATTTTTTTTTGAGATGCAGTCTTGCTCTGTTGCCTAGGCTGGAGTACAGTGATGCGATCTTAGCTTACCGCAACCTCTGCCTCCCAGGCTCAAGTGATTCTCATGCCTCAGCTGAGACTCCCAAGTAGCTGAGACTACAAGCAAGTGCCACTGTACCTAGATAATTTTTGTATTTTTAGTAGAGATGGGGATTCACCATGTTGGCCAGGCTGGTCTCGAACTCCTGGCCTCAAGTGATCCACCAGCCTTGGCCTCCCAAAGTGCTGGGATTACAGGTATGATCCATGTACCTGGCCTGAAACTGAATTTTTAATTTACCCTTTATAGGGTAACTGGTCAACAAAATATTGAATATTGGTAAGCACTGCCAAAAGTTGTTTTCAACATACATGCTCATGACAGTAATGGTTCTCACTTTTGTCTTTATTATGTGCCAGGTTCCATGCCAAACCTCACATGGATGTTCTTTTTGGACCTCACATAATGGCCCTATAAATATTATCAGGCCAAACCTGAGGACCAGAGTGGCCAGATAACTCACCCAAGGTCACAAAGCTGGTAGGAGGCGAAGCTAGGATTTGAACCCTGATTTACCTGCCTTTAGAAGCAGTATTTTTCACTTCCGTACTCCACTGAAGCCTTTAAATCAATGTCTCAAATGCATAAAAACTGGCAGACAGCTTGTTTTCCACGCACAGACCCAGGCCTCTACCTCAGAGAGTCTCTTTCCAAAGGTCTAGGTGGGGCTCGGAGAGGAACATTTTCTTTTTTTTGTTGAAATGGATTTTTGTTCTGTTGCCCAGGCTGGAGTGCAATGGCGCGATCTCGGCTCATTGCAACCTCTGCCCCTCAGGTACAAGTGATTCGCCTGCCTCGGCCTTCCAAGTAACTGGGATTACAGGTGCACACCACCACGCCCAGCTATTTTTTGTATTTTTAGTAGAGATGGGGTTTCACCCTACTGGCCAGGCTGGTCTCCAACTCCAGACCTCAGGTGATCCACCTGCTTTGGCCTCCCAAAGTTCTGGGATTACAGGAGTGAGCCACTATGCCTGGCTGAAGGAAGAGCATTTTCTTTCTTTTTTTTTTGAGATAGAGTCTCGTTCTGTCCCCAGGCTGGAGTGCAGTGGCGCAATCTCAGCTCACTGCAACCTTCGCCTCCCAGGTTCAGGTAATTCTCCTGCCTCAGCCTCCCGAGTAGCTGGGATTACACCCAGCTAATTTTTGTATTTTTTAGTAGAGACAGCGTTTCACCATGTTGGCCAGGATTGTCTCAATCTCTTGACCTCATGATCCACCCACCTCAGCCTCCCAAAGTGCTGGATTACAGGCGTGAGCCACTGCTCCTGGCCAAAGGAAGAGCATTTTCATAAGCACCAGCAGTAACTCAGACTGAGGTGGTCTGTGGGCGAGACCGAGAAGCACTGCCCTGGACGCTTTTATACAACAGTCTCGACAAACCTGCATGGACAGAAATCTACTTGGCCTTTGTCACAAATGCTATTTTCTAAATAACAGAATCATTAGTCCTATTATGGTTACCCAAAAACTAAGATGGTGGAAAAAGGGAATGGAAAGGACCTCACGTAATAGCCCTGTAAAGTCAGTAAGAGAGATTCCTTATGATCAGTCAGAAAGGAGATTCTTCCAACAGTTACTACGTACCCTTACTTCCTACCCTGGCCTTCACAGACCTGTG